CGTCTGACATCTCTTCGACATGCCTGGATGGAAACGGTATCGCTTTGCAGCTCGATCACATCCGCGCATGTTTACACTAGCCTCTGCGCATGCGCGGGATAGCAGCCTCCAGGGTATCATTGGTGGCAAGCGAAAATATCTACAACAATGTACGGAGATCTATTTACCTTAGAGGCATGGCACGGAGCAGGTAGACCTCACGAAACGACACTCTTTTATTCTCTAATTGCATATTTTGACATTATCGCCCCGGTAGATATGTCTGGCGGTGCGGTTTATTCATTACTGCTGGCAGGTTTTATAATACCCTGGCCCTGATGTTTGGGAGGGGAGTAGGTTATGGATGACTTGCTGGTGTGTCAACAGAATTAGTTGATGAGTGGTTTGTGGCCTTGATGTGTGATAAAAAACTGGTCAACGATAATTAACAACATTGCTTATAAAACAAATTAGCAGAAAGGTTTGCTGTATATATATATATATATATATCTATATATCTATATGTCTATATCTATATCTATATATATATATATATATATATATATATATATATATATATATATATATATATATATATATATGTCATAAATCTTAAGCAAATTTGAATAAGTGCGCGCACAGTATTCTAAACTTTATTTTATTTTTTATATTTTTGATACCTTACATTAGTAGAAAATTAACTCCCAAAATCGCACTAATTTTGTTTCCAAACAAATCTGCCCTTAAACAACGTACATAAAGTAAAAAATTAATTGTTTCATTTACGGGAAACACAACATTGCACGTTTCATCTATACTCGGTTGTTCAGACTTGTGTTTTATGTTGTCTATTTTATGTGTAATTAATGATCATGCTATGTGTTGCTCGAAGCTTTTCTTAAGTCCATGTCATTTTATTGATGGTAGAAAGGAAAACTATTTTTAGAAATACGGCTTATAGTCAGATAATGTGGACGTTTTTAATATGTCATATAATATTTCCGGTTTGCTCCAGAAAAAAAAAAACTTATTTGTTAAAATTTATTTTTACTGGAAATTTTATATTGAACAAAACATAGACGTATATAATTTTTTTTACAAACCTACGTTAAAGCTCAGTCACAGTTTATAATTTCCGTTCTTCTTTTTTTTTCAAATGTCTGTTTTGTACTAAGTGAGTAGTTTATTTATCTCATTAAGGGCGATAACTAGAGGAAAGATTATGTTCATTTACATTGGCGTCCTAGTCACATAAAAGAAACCTGCTAAACTGTAGCGGTACTCGTCTAACTCTTGCTGGACGGGAATTATCTAAATCAGCGACAACAGTTCTATCCCCCCGCCGGTTCCATAGACCCCCGCCCCCCAGTCATCGCTAATTGGATCTCAACTCCGATGCATTACCAAGTGAACCATCTATCACAATACCCGCCCGCCATTTTGGCACACCGGAAATGGAAGCCCTTGTTACCGCTACTTGAGGGAGGTGAGGGCGAAAATGGTGGCTAAATTGAACCGAGAACAAAATCTTCGGCTAAAGATAGATCGGTGACTCGGTGATCTTTTGAACTCTTCAACCCGTTTCTTTTGGTAACGGCTAACTGATATTAAATTCATTTTTTTTTCTTACGTATTTAGACTATTTTTTTTTAAAATGGCTACTGATTTATTATTGATTTTATTTGATAAATGTTTAAAGAAAACTAGTGATGTTATTATCGCGTGAGGAGGTAGGTAGGTGATTTATGCCAAGATCCCAGCAGTTATTGAAACACAATCTCGCCGTGTTCGATACTTCAACAAGGAAGAGAAGAAAAGGGAAGTAACCAATTAGGGCAGGAACGAGAACTAGGTTAGTAGAATAACTTTAAACATTATCCTAAAGAATAAAATAAATCTTGCATAAAACTATTCCTGTAATGTTTTATTGTTACAATATAAATAAATGTATATCTCATATTATATAAAGGTTTTTACAATTGAAAAAGCGTTTTTTTATTTATCTAAATATTTTGCATAGAAAACATAAAATAAAACTAAAAATAAATTATTATAAGTATTTACATTACTATCTTAATAAACGATCATCTGACGCGATAAATTGGCACAATTGTTATCTAGAAAGTATGGGGGAAATGACATAGGCCAGGGGTCGGCAACCTTTTGAAGCGGAAGAGCCAAAAGTTACAATTTTCAAAATTTCCCTGGTCTTAAAGAGCCACTAACATTTTTTTCATTTCAAATATTTTATTTTTTTATTAAGATTATTAGTATTTGTTCAAGGAGCTGGAGAGCCGCATCTTGATATCAAAAGAGCCGCATGCGGCTCGAGAGCCGCAGGTTGCCGACCCCTGACATAGGCAGCTTTTATAAAGAAACGCTAGCAACATTCCAAGGAAACAAAAGCATTATTGGGGAAGACACACAAAAAATATACGACATCCTAATCAAACAACAAGCGACACCCTTATACACGAGAATTAGTTGGGCCAGGGAACACAATATAATAGACATTAAAGATACATTTAGAAACCTACATAATAAACGCATTACACCAAAAGAAAGGGAAGTAGCATACAGACTGATTTTTAATACAACTCCAGTTTCACGAAATACAAAGTCAAATCAAAATGTTAAAATAACATGTCAAACGTGTAAACAAAATATACAAGAAACTGAGAAACACATTTATTTAGATTGTATATTAGTACAGAAAGCAAAGCAAACACTTGCGAAAATATTAAACACCACCAATCAAACAGCCACAACAAATAAAGCAATCACACTTAATTTAATTAACACGACTAGACAAAGAACAGAAGACGAAAACAGACTAGTAGCAACGGCTATTTATAGATCGACTATATGGCAAATTAGGAATAAAGTCAGATATATTTTTCACAAAATACACGGACATCGAGTTAAAAGAAATATTTCAAGCAAAGCTAAGACATAGACTGGGAACTCTCACTTAACTGAGAAAAAAAAGAAATATACAGGAAAGAAATAAATAAAGTATCAATTTTAATTTAGACAGTCTCAAGCCAAACATCACTCGATCAGCCCCCAAGTAAATTAACATTAGAACAGTCTTCTGTTTCCCGGGTTTTAAAATGCACAACCTGAATGTTAGAAAGAGATACCCACCTCAACCCCCCCCCCCCAACACACACACACACTCCCCCCCCCCCCCCCCCCCCCCCACTCAACCGGACTGGCGGACATTTCAAGGTAGCGTGCCCTCATTGCCAAGGGTCAATTTTATGTCATGGAAAGTTTTGGAATGATAGATCAGTATGTGATTACAGAGACCCTTCTCCCACGGTCGTTTCTATTTCTGTCCATGGGTGGCTACAGTGTGAACTTTTGACTCCGCAGCACACTAAACTAAGCAGTGAAGAGAAACCTAGTTTGCACACCTTATTTTAATCTAGTTCTTATGCCATTTTATTTTTTCCCTTTGATTATTATATATGCAATTGATGTTCATTGTTCATGTCTTTGATGCTGTGTAAAATCTATCAAATATATTATTATTACTGATTTAAATGTTTAAAACAATTGAATTAATAAAAACATAAAAATATAAAAAATCTACCCCCTCCTCTATCCCCCTCTATCCACTTTACCCTCAGACATGATAACCCCACAATCCCTTTAACTGTTCCAACGACCCCACCACCCACCGCAACATCAATATCCAGAACTTATTTAAAGTTCTAAATCTTGTCTCTTTCCCCTCATCTTTCACACTGCAACCTTTTGAAAACTCAATGCGACCACTACAACACCCTTTCAACAAGTCAACTTAAGTTGTTTCCCTACATAGAAAATGCTTCACTGTCCCATTGACCCTCTCTGAAAAATTTCCTTTCCTCTCCCCACCCAGACTTCTGACACTTTCACTTGACCTTCACCCCTTTTACTGTCATCCTTTGCAATTTTTTATAATCAAATACATGACATCATGTAAATATTCATTATGTACATTTGCAAAACCTTTCGTTTTCATTTGGTGTTCAAAATTATGTTAAAAAATTTGATGTTGATGTTTTTGTTTTCATTGCAAATAAAAGTATTTAATAAAAAAAAATAAAAAAAATAAAAAATATATAAAAAAAATCTAGAAAGAATTAACTTACTTAAAAAAAAAAAATCTGTATTATTCTTAATTATTTTTTTCCATATGCCCAATAACCGTTATCTCCACTGTGCCGTTAAAAAAATTCCCTTTTAATTAAAATTTGCATTTCCCGGTTTAAAAATAAAATTGTAATTAGATGTTGTGTATTAGATCTATGTATAAGTAAACCATCTTAATTGGATTAAAGTAGGTTACGTGTAAGAAAGAATTATTACTATTGTAGATCTGCATCAGTCCTCACAAGCCGACGATGAAAACTTTAATACTAAAGCGAACATGGCAAGGCAACCTGACGTCTGAGAAAGAAAAAAAAAGTTTTTAATTAAGAAAAACATAACTCATATTTTTACAACAAAAAATACTAGTCACAAATCTAAATTACTAGAGCATAAACATGATACTTCAGTTCAATTGATTTCAACCTAACCCAATATACAGCACCAAAAGATACGGCCCGCGTGAACTCTACTTCACGAAATATGTCGAAGAACTGCCGCGATTCGCTTGTGGGCTTTCTCTGGGGTCAATAACGATACACTAACGGGAGCCCCCAGAATACTCGACAATGAAGAACTTACGGGCAATGTTGGGCATAAATAACAGCAGCTTATACAACCGATTGATAGGACACTTCTCACTAGGTTTAACAACGATACAAGAACAAATCAATGTACTGCTTGCGATAATAGAATGACATCAGGCCACCAAACATTGCACATCTACGGAGCACTAGTTCCACCAGTGAAACCAACGTTATCTGCATATTCCTCAGTGTGAAGCTGTAGCAGACGGCGGCACCAAAGAGACGCAGCAACACCATCAACAAAACGACACAGCAACACCATCAACAAAATGACACAGCAACACCATCAACAAAATGACACAGCAACACCATCATCAAAACGACACAGCAACACCATCAACAAAACGACACAGGAACACCATCAACAAAACGACACAGGAACACCATCAACAAAACGACACAGCAACACTTTCAAAAAACGACACAGGAACACCATCAACAAAACGACACAGGAACACCATCAACAAAACGACACAGGAACACCATCAACAAAACGACACAGGAACACCATCAACAAAACGACACAGGAACACCATCAACAAAACGACACAGGAACATCATCAACAAAACGACACAGGAACACCATCAACAAAACGACACAGCGACACCATCAACAAAACGACACAGGAACACCATCAACAAAATGACACAGAAACACCATCAACAAAACGACACAGGAACATTTTCAACAAAACGACACAGCAACATTTTCAACAAAACGACATAGCAACACCATCAACAAAACGACACAGGGACACCATTAACAAAACGACACAGAAACTTCATCAACAAAACGACACAGAAACACCTTCAACAAAACGAAACAGCAACACCATCAACAAAACGAAACAGGAACACCATCAACAAAACGACGCAGCAAGACCATCAACCAGACCACAATCTAGCCTCCACAAGAAACCTTAACAAACTACAGCAGCACAAACCAACTGAGACACATCAACAACATCAACCCACCACCCTCCACCTTCACAGCAAAAAATCACAAACTACAATAGGCGCAATAATCCAGCGGAAAAAGGCGGATAGTCTAAATTTAAAAAAAAATAAAGCAAAAATCCCGAATCAGAAAATATAAAGAAGACACGACAACAACCTCAAAACCACGTGAAAGTTGACAAATACATGATGAAACAAAGACATCCGAATCTGTCAGAGATACATCAGATCAGATAACTCAAGTAAAAATCTTGCAAGACAGCAGAAATTGTCTTAACTCATTCTATTGCCAAAATAAAAATTTTAAAAAAAAATAAAAAACTGACGCGCATGAATACAGTGTTCACCCAGAATTCTCAAACTGCGATCACAGCCAAAACTTTATGTTAAACAGATCGCCAAAAAAAACAACACCCGGATATTATCATCTCCCAGTGTGCATCTATCTATATATATAATTCTCTTCTGGGAGACGCTAGAAAACAAGCTGTAAACGCGCTCCCTATCACCCCCACCCCTACATGGTCTGGTGAGCTGTGGTTCACTCTAAATTTTACAAACAGAGCCGGGTTTAGTGACGACAATTAGGGGCAGATAATTTAGTTTGAAACGATTTTAAACGTAGGGGGGGGGGTAACTAAGTGGAGTTTACTTTAACGGAGGGGGGGGGGAGGAGGGGGGGTATCGTCCTTAACGAGCTACTTATAATGTTGTAAAGAAATATTTTCAGTGGTAGCGTTGTTAGTGTCGAATTCACAAATTATGAATAACTGAAAAGTAGAAAAAACAGCGGCGTATGATATGCCGCGGGTCGGCTCGTAAAATAATAATCCACTCAAAACTGCGAGGACGTGATGTACACATAGAGAACCACCACCCAGATGACCGCCATCGTTTTAATCACATTTCCTACATGATAAAACCACACAAAAATGTTACCTTCATCTACTCAGATGATAAGATATAACAACTTCTATTGTTTCTATATATTTTCTATATATTTTTATGTTGACTAATAAACTTACAAAAACGTACTTTAATTAACCTGCAAAAAAAAAAGATTTTTTTTTTAAATTATCTGAAAACAAAAGTTTAACAAATAGAGAAAAAAAAAATGCATTATATTATTTAGCTGCTAAAAATTGTTAAATACGTTATAGATGTATTCTGTGTCCTGGATGGTTTTATTTCATTGGTGCTTTATTTAGTGGTGCTTTATTTAGTGGTGCTTTATTTAATGGTACTTTATTTAGTGGTGCTTTATTTAGTGGTGCTTTATTTAGTGGTGCTTTATTTAGTGGTGCTTTATTTAGTGATGCTTTATTTAGTGGTACTTTATTTAGTGGTACTTTATTTAATGGTGCTTTATTTAGTGGTGCTTTATTTAGTGGTGCTTTATTTAGTGGTACTTTATTTAATGGTACTTTATTTAGTGGTGCTTTATTTAGTGATGCTTTATTTAGTGGTGCTTTATTTAGTGATGCTTTATTTAGTGGTGCTTTATTTAATGGTACTTTATTTAATGGTACTTTATTTAATGGAGCTTTATTTAGTGGCGTTACTCTAAAAGCTTCTCCACTGGTGTTACTATAATGGTGTTACTGTAGTGGTGTGTTTTGGTTAGGTGCATTCGCCTAAAGAGCTTTACCAAAAGAACCGTTTCAATGATCCCAAAGTTTTACCAAAAAGTTAAACCGATCATTCCCGCACAACTGGTCGTAATTTCCCCTCCACCCTCGGGGTACACCCCGACCCTCCTCCACGTAACTCCTACCCCCCCCCCCCCTCAAATGCACCGGATGACCCTGCGGTCCCAGACAGTTGATTGGTTGAAGACATCACGTGGGTGTTTGCACATTTGCTACAAATCAGATCTGCAATGCCGCGCTAAATGTCACGGGGCGTATGTCATTGAGCGCACTAGCAGGGCGGTGTTGCGTCAAAATAATAACAACAAAAAACAACCAAAAAAAAAACACCATAACGGTTATAGTGCTACTAATCCGTTAATCCCCTTCATCTATTAGTAAAGTGCGATATATCGTGGGTACCAGCATCTAGTACTACCAAATACCAAACCAATGTTTCTTCCAGACTTCTTTCTCCGGGAGGGAGGGGGGCACTTGAAATTTTTCGGGGGGGGGGGGGGGGGGGCGGTATACTTTCTCCGGGGGGAGGGACAATGTTCATTGTATATATTTTCTATATAAATGTAATTTCGAATTTCGTTCGGGGGGTGGCGGTAGACTTTCTTCGGGGAGGCTCCGCCCTCCCGAAGAGATGCCTGGAAGAAACTCTGTACCAAACCTTGTGCTATGAGCTGTTTGAACAGAAGTTAACCTAGAATGAAATAATACAACTTTTACGTAGCCTACCTGTCAAACTCACAAAAAGGTTTACCCGAATCGAATAAAAACTTTATTTAACAAACAAAAATAAAGATAAACAAACCTTAATAGCTTTGTCCAAACGCTAACTCTATTCTTCCAAACCTAGAATTGAACATTATTATCTATACACTTTTTATCAATCAGTCACAAAGTTGTTTTTAATTATTTTTTTAAAATTAAGAGTAGCCTCCCATTGACGTTTTATTATTGCGCTTTACATTCAGACGAACCTCTCTAATTAAATTTATGAAATAAAGATAAACGCTTCAAAAAGATTTTTTTTTTTTTTTTTTTTAGTCTGGAGGGCATTCAAAATAGTTTATAGCTTAGGAATGTGGTATTTATAAATTAACATCAATCATCCCAACATCTCTTCTGTCAAGTTATGGCTCGGGATAGAGGAGAATATTTGACGTATTATCTTAGCCGTCTGACATGCTTTGGTTATCTACTTTAGACTAGTCTGTTTTAGCTTCATTTTCTACTTAACATTTCTAAATATAGATCGCGTGTTTGTCAAGGTCATGGTGAGTCATTGTTTGTAAATAAAACATTTTTAAAAAAATAAATACACGGGCCTTGTATTTTATTTTATTTTATTTCAATCTTCAAATCTTTTAAATAATCAGTGTGTCAGGGGCGTAGCGAGGGGGGGGGGGCGAGGGGTGCGGACCGCACCGGGTGACACCATTTAGGGGGGGTGACACCAAGGCAAAAAATAGCAAAATATATAGAGAAAAACTTGAGGGGGGGGGGGGTGCAAATCGAAAACTTGAGGGTGGGGGGTGCAAAAAATAAAGTTTGAGGGGGGGGGGGGGTGCAAATTGAAAACTTGAAAGTTTGTCCCCGGGAAGGGTTGCAACGCCTCTGAGGGGGGGGGGGGGTGACACCATTAAGTGCCGCACCGGGTGACACCCGACCTCGCTACGCCACTGCAGTGTGTGTAGGGTATCGTAATTCAAATTATTTGGTTTGCGACGTTTTCACACATGTTGGTCCATACAGCAGATGAAGCAGAGTTTACCTGTTTTTGTGACTTCGGCGTGGAATAAGATGGTGCACTCAGCACTATGCATAGCTACCTCGAGTCAGTTTGTATCAGAACGATTTTGGACCCACGAGAACCGAACTCAAGACTTTCGAGTTAAACGTCGCATGTTCTACCACTCTAACACACTCTACTTCTCCATGTATTTATATTTATTTTAGAAATAATTTGTAAAACGTGGTAAACTTTTACCCCTTCCCCCCTCCCCACTTTATTTGTCCCACCCTTCCCCATTGCCCCACTCCCTATATTTAACATTACCTTCCTCACCCGAAAGAAACCGTGTCTCTTACTTAACACCCACCTTTATATGACTGATCAGACAGATATAGATAAGTTAAACACATCTCTCTTCTAAAGGGCTCCTCATTTTAAAACCTCAAATGTTAATTATAACGTTTTTAAATATTCATATCTTCCCTCCCTCCCACCGCCCCCACCGTTATATCTGTAGACCCGTCAGCTTAAACCCATTTGTTGTAGTGTTTCCTTATCTACCCCACCCCACACTATTAACGGCATAAGTCTTTAAAGTGACAGCAAGTTATCCGCCCAGGTTCAGGCTTATCAAACGGGCAGCTAGGGCAGAAACTAAAGTCATTTGGTTAAAGGAAAATTACATGAAAGCCGAATGCACGAATGATAAATAATATCAGCAGCACACAAGCCAAAATTTTGTGGCAAATGTCTCATACAGACAATAATTTAAACAGCAATACCCCAATTGGCAAACAGCCGAAAATCAAAAACAGCGATAGCGCAAACGAAACATCAAATAGGCCATACAGTCGAAAACCAAAAGCAATCAACAATAACCTAATCTACAATAGACCAATCAGCAATGGCCTTATCAACAATAGTCTAATTAGCAATAACCTAATCAACAATAGACCAATCAACAATAGTTTAATTAGCAATAGCCTAATTAGCAACAGCCTAATCAGCAATAGCCCAACCAGTATTAGCCCAATCAGAAATATCCCAAATGGGCGATATCACAAACAACCAACATGACAAAAATGATTGTATTTTAACAACTGTAAGGGGGTCGGCGTGGTCATAGACAACTCCAAAATCAAACAACTGCTGCCTTGTAGTTTGTTCTTGGTTGGACAAAGGCTATGGAAGCAAATCCAAAAAGAAAAGCAGGCTGAAATCTGAGTCAATGGCCTCAATGGCGCATAACCGGTTGACACGTAACGCTTAATTGTGTTGGAGGCGTGGTCGAGTCGGCAAAAAGCTCATGGTTGATAAATTCGAACAAAGTCTCGAGTTCAAACCCACTGGCAGATAAATCTCGGTCCCCTTCAACACTAATAATTAAGAACGAAGAAGAAGAAGAGAAACAACTGTACACGTTGTAGCATTCTTTTTAAAACAACACATGAAACTTAACTATCTGTTTGCAATGGTCTTAGAAATATAAATATTAAACGTAAATTTAAAAAAAAAACTATTATTTTTTATGTGGATTTCAACTTGTTATATAACCACTAAATTAATTTTACTTATCGTGATTCATTTAAGTC